TGGGGGGGAGATTGGGAGGAAGGTGGTGTGCGCCCTTTTAGGTTTCAGGGAGGTTTCTTTTTTGATGTCGTGGTACTCCCACAGCAGGGGTGTCCCGTGTGCTTCCGGTTCCGGGTGGCTCTCTTCGTTCCCGGGGTCCCCCGGGTGGGTTTCCGGGAGCCTTTTCCCGTGGCTTTTCCCCGGTCTCGTTGGGGTGAGGGTCGGGGGGGGGGGGGGGCACGGCGCGTGGGAAGTTTTCGAGACGGTGGGCGGGGCGGAGAAGACAATGAACAACCCACGTGTCTTGCGTATGTTGAATGGCTGCATCTCTTTGCGCCAGTCACAATAACACCAGGTGAGGGAACATGGACTCTCTACCTGTACGATTTCCCTCCAGTATGGTGGCAAATTTCGTGCGCGTTCGTCAAGAAACTCTTGACTTCGCACGAAATCAAGTTGTAGGTCTACATGCCAAGAAGCTTGGCCCGAGACCAAGCCTGCCAACCCGCTCGACAAACAGCCGAATCAACCAACTTGGGGGCAAAAAAGAGCACAGTAGCAGTTGCATCAACAAAACAAATTCACAAAACAAATTCGGCGGCGGCGAACAGTTTTCTGCGCGAAACGTGTACCAGACGAGAAAGGAAAACGAGGACAAGGCGTCTCACGACCCGGTGTTTCGATGAACTTTGTAGGACGTCCCCCCTCGACACTTTGAAACGATAAAAGACAACGAAATGAACTATAAAAAAACACACCGATCACAGATGGACACAAACACACACATTATCTTGAGACTGCCTGCTAATACCCTTGTACACAACCAGGTGATGACTGAACACATCACCAGGTGATGACTGAACACATCTCTTATGGTCTGGATCAGCAGAAAAGAAGGTGGACGTCCGCAAATACTGGCGAAGGGGGTCAGGGCGGACTTCAGGTGAGCACCGCCACCACTACCACCAACAGCAACGACATAACAAACCGCACGAACTCACCGACCCTTGTGCCGAGTGCTGGCAGTACCAGACGATCTCCTGCTTGGCTAGCTTGCACGCTGCGAGCACCTGCCACCGCGGAGAACAAGTTACAGCCAAAAATTGCGCCCGTTAGAAGAAACGACATCGTCAACCCCACCCCCGAGGACGAGTGGTCAATGGTCTAAATTTAACAACAAAAATAAGGCATGCAAAACATGGGTACACCCCCCCCCCTTCATGCGACTCGCCGAATACCTCACGGCGATCCGCGCTTGGCGACGTGCTAGCCTGGTCCGGCGGATTACCCGGCGTGCTCCGTCCCGGCTTGGTAGGGATGCGAGGCCAATGGTTTAACGACTACGGCATGCACGGCCATGAGCCCCCCCCCCCCCTCTCTCCATCCACTTACCATCGGAAGCTTTGGTCCAAGCATGCCCGGCTCAGACCCTACCAGGGCGGCGAGCGCCTTGACCTGCTCCCTCAGGTAGGCTCTCCGCTCCCGGTGCTTCAGGGCGCACGTCGCCGCGGCCTCCTTCCCGATGCCCTTCATGTACTTCTTGAGCTTGACGTCGGGCGGGAGGGACACTGGGGCAGAGCGCCGAGACGCGGGGTTGTTTTTAGACGCGCGGCCGTTCTAAGCTGTTGCTGATGGTGCTGTTTACTATCCGAGTGCTGGTCGTGTGCTCGTCATCACTGGCGCTTTAGTTGCTGTAGTAGCGGCGGTGGGTGTATGTGGCTGTGGTTGATGTTGCTGTTACAGTTGTGGTTGATGTTGTTCTGTTACAGTTGTGGTTGATGTTGTTCTGTTACAGTTGTGGTTCATGTTGTTCTGTTACAGTTGTGGTTCATGTTGTTCTGTTATTCATTTGTTGTTATCGTCGCTGTTGTCTTTTTCGTCATCGTTGTCAACTGTTCTTGCGTGTTTTTTTTTACGTGTTGACACACGCCCTTTCTGCTCCGTAGCCGATGTGCACACGCTGACGACGACTATGCAGACACGGATACGATCAATCTAATCGTCGCCCTCTTCGGTGTCCACGTTTTTGGTTGCCGACACGCAAGCAGCGACCACTGGCAACATCGCGTACCCACCGCCTTTCGGGAAAAAGAACGCAACGCCACGGGGAGGCTGGACACCACGTCTTCGGGGTGCGAGAGAGCGAGTCTGTTCGGAGCGTCATGCATTCGTGTGGGTGTGTGCGTGCATGGCGCGCGCGCCCTAAAAATGGCAACGGGAAGCAAGATCGGCGCTATGTTGCGGTGTGAGCTGTCCGTCTGCCTTCATGAGAGCCGCCCCTCGCCGACCCATCGACTGTTCCGCGCTTATTACCCAGTGTGTGTAAATATAAGGACAGCAGACTAAAGCACGTTGTTGGCTGCGAAGTTAGCGTACAAATCTCACAGGACGTTTCATGTCCTGCTCAATACCGAACATCCCCATCGACCCGAGCACTCCGCCCCCCCCCCGTTCCTCTTGATCGCGATACCCCCTGTTCTTTTTGATCGCGACACCGCCCGTCTACGTACGTGTACAGAAAATAGCACGCGGCGTTTCCCCCCTCACGTGTCAAGGTCGAGTTCTTGGGAGGGAACCACGCTACCATCTTCTCCACCTCGGAGTGCAAGTTCAGGGTCACATCTCGAAACACCTGTGTACAGTGACGCAATCAAGTGTTGACGGAGGTTCGACAAAATAAAAAAAGAGAACATGCAGTCGTCGGCATTATCAGGCACGCGAAAAACACAACGCTCGTCAGAGGAGAAGCTGGCTCTTGCCTGGTTCAGTACCTATCTACTCAAGGGGTGTTCCCTCGACATTTTTTTTTTTACTACGAAAACACAACAAATTCATCTCTTCCACGGGTATGTAAGAGCCCGAGATAGATTAGCAAATCAATTCTAATGCATACCCCCACCCTTGACCTAACCCACTGGGTCGACAGCCGCCAGTTCCTTCCTGCACACGATGAGTGGCCAACAAAGCTGCAGCTAAACCACCCGAACCACCTACTTGTGCGACACAGAGAAAAACAAATGTGCAGCCTTGCATTCATAGCCAGCAAGTTTTAAAAGCGAGGACAAAAAATAAACAATTTTAGGGACGACACGTCCACTCACAGGGACGATTATGATGTAATATTTTTGTAATTTGGGGACGGTACATACGCACACAGGCGCGATCGCGTTGTTCCTGCACTCACAGGGATGATCACGTTGCTCTTGCAGACCAGGGACCACAGGTCCGTGAGCTCCGCCTGGCAAAGCACCGTCTGCGGCATCACGAGCCCCATCAGGCACACCCATACCACGTACTCCCCGCTCCTCAGGAGCTCGCTGTGCAGCATCACCTGAAAAACAAAAAACAAAAAACAAAAAAAACACCAAGACGACACAACAAAGCCGTAGAGAGACAGACCCATCAAAGGGGGCAGCAGCGTCAGCCCCAGAACGAGTCCCAACGAGGTGTGCTTGTATTGTAGCATGCATGGGTCGAGAAGGGAAGAGAAACGCCAGCGAGAGAGAAGAAGAGAAAAAAAAAAACTAAGAAAAAAAAAAACTACAACAGTGCTTCGTAGTACATAGCGGTGGGTCCGGTTTAGCGACCCCTAGTGGCACGAGGGAGTGTGGTCGCTATTCAGGGCAGGTCGCCTCTATTGCCGGGGTAGCGGTTACTTGCCGGGGTGCAGCCACGCGATATCGTGGTCGCCAAACAGGGCACATCGCTAAGCGGGGGGGTCGCCATGTAAACCGGGCCGGCCCACCACTGCTGTACGAAAGACACGTATCGCAGCTTCGCCCGAAGCCCCCGCGCATAGACCGGCCTACCACAGCAAACAGAAAAAAAAAAAAGGCTATCGTATCCCTTCAAAGAAAAACCCATCGCCGAGCAGACGCTTCACCATCGCGTCCCTCACCCAAAAAAAAACGCCATCGAAAAATACATGCAACCCCGAGGGATGCCAAGTGTCGTAACGCCCCACAGCTACGGCAGCAGTAGCTCACAAAAAAAACACCTTTGGACATAAAAATAACAACGGGACCCCCCCACTCACCGCAGCGAGCATCAAGAAGACTCCCACACGGACACCGGTAGATACTCCGCCAAATGGGGAGGAAAAATGTCCGTAACACGACTAAATCACACCGCAGCACCTCCGGCTGACCGAAACCAATAACGCCCCGCAACTAGCTCACAAAAAACACCGTCGGACAGAAAAAAGAACCGCGGGAGCGTCCCCCCACTCACTGTAGTCGACCTCTGGTTTACCGCAACCCGACAACGCCTTACAACCCAACAACAAAACACCGCCAGAAAGAGAAAGAACCACGGGACCCTCCCCCCACTCACCGTTGTCGACCTCTGGCTGACCGGCAGCTGGCACGGGAAGGCCATCAGGTCTCCCTCGTCGAGAACACTCAGCGCGTTCATCCCTCGCAAGGTATCCACCTATTGTTGTTGTTTCGCAGACCACGGCCCCGCGCGCGCGCGGGGGGGGGCGGGACAACGCACAACACACGGGTGAGAGCGGAGACAAGACAAAATGGGGCCACCGCGTGTCTTCAAGCAAGCGTGGTGGTGGCTCAAAAGCCGCGCTTTGGTGAATTTTAGCATCGCATCTCATCTTTGTGATATGCCATCCTCGACAGGCCTCGACCCATTTGCCGCAAAATTAGAAGCATGCGCTCTCAAGCAGAAACCAAATCCGATGTCAGGCACGATTAAACACTGTAGCGTGTACCAAAAAGTTGCATGCTCGTAACCACACCGTCCGTGTCTCGCATGCCGCTACGCGCGGCCGCGGGCACCGCCTGCACCGCAAAACCCCGTGCCCCCCCCCCCCCCCCCCCGGGCTCCCCAAAAAAAAAAAAAAAATTTTTTTTGTCCCCCTGGCCAAACCCCTTTAAAAAAACACAAAAAAAGGGGGCCCCCCCAAAAAGGATACCCCCCCCCCCAAGGCCCCCCCCCCACCCCCTTTGACGGTGTTAGCCCGCCCCCC